AGTTACATAAAGCTCTATTTTTTGATAATATTGAGCACTGTCATACGATCAAGAGTTTTTGTATTTTACACCGCAATACTTATATATATATATATATATATATATATATATATATATATATATATATATATATATATATATATATATATATATATATATATATATATATATATATATAAATGTTTGTTTATTACTTATATACATTCCTATACCATTCTTTTGATCCTGATCAAATTTAACACAGAAAATACAGCAATGAGAATAAGATAGGCTCTATATGAAGCGGCCATTTTTAATCCGCTATTATGAAAAGATTTTTTGTTTATTTCTGTTAACTCTGATTAGTTAGGGTTAGGGTTGGGGGAGCAACGTATAAGCAGGGTTAAATTAAAGTTTAAATATTTTTTTTCTAAACAAGCTTTGTAACATTGAGCAAAGTTAGGTGCCAATAATATTATAAATATATTTAAAAAATACACGCAAATATAATCTTTTATATATTTGTAAACTTTATAAATGTCTTTAATGATTAAAGTGTCTATTTATAAAATATATTTTTTCTAGTTTTTTAGGTGACATTCTACAAACAGCTGCTGGTGCTTGGATAGGACTAAATGATAGATCAGTTGAAAGCAAATACATTTGGAATTTTCAATCAAACAAGATTTCTGAGTTTTTTTCTTGGGGTGAAGATGAGCCAAATAATTATAACAAAGGTTGCAATATTGAAAACTGTGTTCAAATAAAAAAAGAGACTGCTAAATGGATTGATTTGATATGTGGAGTTTTCATCCCATATGTATGCCAAGTCGATGCAGTTTATAATGGTTTGTTTACTAATTGTTGTTTGGATATTGATTTTCATGGCGTTTACATTCTGTTTGTTAATATTTGAATTTGAAAAATATTTATTAAAATTGAAACTTTCATTTAGAAAGTGTCACCTGGAGTTGTTATCGTTCTAAGTGTTATCGTTATTTTAACGATTTGCTTGTCTGGGAAGATGCTCTCTCGCGTTGTAAAGCAATTCATTTAAGTGGTCAGCTGGCCACAATAGAAAATCAGGCTGAAAACGACCTGGTTGCTCAACTTTTGATAGAAAGTGCTTGGATTGGTTTAAATGATAGATGGGAAGCAGGTTTAACTATTTATTTTGCATTTCTCAAAAATTTGAAGTTTTTTATAAAACTTCGATAAAATAATAAAATTTACATTGAAAGGCTTTTTACTTTAGGTTTGTATTCCTGGTCCGATAATAAACAAGTGCTAACCAAAAAATCTTTTTTTAACTGGGATGTAGGAGAACCTAATGATAAGTTTTATCATTCGTTTGCAAACACTTGTTCTGGTGAAGACTGCGTGCAATTAAGAAAATTTGGTTCTAAGGTTACATGGCATGACCTAGGATGTAATACCGTGATACCTCATATATGCGAAAAGATTAGAGGTAACCCCCATTCCAAGTAGCTAATTTATTTTACCTATAAACCTCGTTATTAGAATAATAATTTTAAAATATTTTTCAATGATTTTAAAATTTAGATCGTGAAATTACAACAGGAGGCTTGGTCGGAATTATAATTGGTTGCTTAATTCTTTTTGCTGTACTTGGAGGTCTCGCTCACGCGGCGTTTCAAAGGCACAAAAAAACCGCTGTCAAAGATATTATAAAAGCTGCTTACCAAGAAGATTTTTTAACTCAGCAAAAATTATCACGAAAATCAATATAATTGTTATCACGAAAATCGATATAATTGTTATCACGAAAATCGATATAATTGTTATCACGAAAATCAATATAATTGTTATCACGAAAATCGATATAATTGTTATCACGAAAATCAATATAATTGTTATCACGAAAATCAATATAATTGTTATCACGAAAATCAATATAATTGTTATCACGAAAATCGATATAATTGTTATCACGAAAATCGATATAATTGTTATCACGAAAATCGATATAATTGTTATCACGAAAATCAATATAATTGTTATCACGAAAATCGATATAATTGTTATCACGAAAATCAATATAATTGTTATCACGAAAATCAATATAATTGTTATCACGAAAATCAATATAATTGTTATCACGAAAATCGATATAATTGTTATCACGAAAATCGATATAATTGTTATCACGAAAATCGATATAATTGTTATCACGAAAATCAATATAATTGTTATCACGAAAATCGATATAATTGTTATCACGAAAATCAATATAATTGTTATCACGAAAATCGATATAATTGTTATCACGAAAATCGATATAATTGTTATTTACATTTAGAGTAATAATCTTATGATGCATTAGTTTGCAGAATTCTTCAACTTAGCAGAAATTTGTTAATAAAAACAAACGATATATTTATTTTGAAAGTAGGTTTATACTTTATAATTTAAAAATGATTTGAACTATGTTTGACGTGAAGTGGTGTCCTCACGTCTATGAATTTTCATTGATTTAAATAATAATAATTAATTTAAAGAA